AAACAATGTTGCCGGTTTCCTTTGTCTTCCCATAACATTTGTGGATTTTGTGTTACTCAGTCCTTGTCCCTTTCTTTGCCATTTATGTGTGTATTTGTAAACAGTATATTTCTGTAAAATGCCTGTGTTGTGTTCATTTTTTATTAGTTGATTTTCTTCTTAGCATTTTGGAGAACTGTTTTTTTTTTGGGGGGGGGGGGGAGTCCGATCGTGGGGCCTGAACTCTGGGCCTGGGCGCTGTCTCTCAGCTCTTCAGCTCAAGGCTAGCACTCTACCCCTTGAGCCACAGTGCCACTTCCGGCGTTTTTTCTTTTTGCTTATGTGGTGCTGGGGAATCGAACCCAGGGTCTCATGCATGCAAGGCAAGCGATCTACCACTGAGCCACCTTCCCAGCCCCTGTTTGTTTGTTTTTTAAATGTTTTGGAGATGAATTATTTTCTAAGTTTTACAGATGCTTTTTCTCAGTTTGTAGTTTACCTTATCTTCTTTGTTTTTTTGAAACTGGGATCTGGCAATATAGCCTCAAACTTGAGATCTTCCCTCCTCAGCTTCAAGGATGCTGGGATTATAAGTATGTACTCTCCTTGCCTGCCTTTGTGTTTTGTTTTGTTTTTCTTCACACTACTGAGGTGTAAGATAGGTTCTTTACCACTTGAGCCATGCATGCCCACAACCCTTTCCTGATATCTTTTGATATATTAAAAAGTCTTTAGTTTTTATATACAGTTTATGATTCTTTTATGTATTATTTAAACATTTTATGTCTTTAGAAATCCTACTGGGTGCTGGGAAGGTGGCTCAGTGGTAGAGTGCTTGCTTTACATGCACGAGGCCCTGGGTTCCATTCCTCAGCACCACATAAGCAGAAAAAGCTGGAAGTGGCGCTGTGGCTCAAGTGGTAGAGCCTACTAGCCTTGAGCTGAAGAGCTGAGGGACAGCGCCCAGGCCCAGAGTTCAGGCCCCATGACTGACCAAAAAAAAAAAAAAATCCTATTTGATCCTGAAATTACAAATGCCCTAATACATTATCTTTTAAAATATAGGTTTACTTTTCATATTGGCATCTTTAATCCATTTGAATTTGATGTTTGTGTTGGTTAGTTACAAAGATACAATACTAATTTTTTCTATTTGTAGAAATGTTTTCCTAGACCATTGATCTAAAGGGTTTTTGTTTCCCTACTAATCTACTGTTTCTTATAAATGAATAAAGCCTCATTCTGGAGCTCTGTTTTGTTTAATTACTTAATTTTAAAACAATGCCTAAATGGATACTTATTGAAGTTTTGAAATAAGTGTCTTCTTTTGTAAATATACTTTTTAAAAATGGTATTACAAAGGTGATATGCAGAGGGGTTACAGTTTATTTTTGTACAGTGTCACCCCTTCCCTCACTCTCTCCCAGTTTTTCCCTCCCATCCCCATCCATGAGTTGTATAGTTCATTTTCAACATAGTGTCTAGTGAGTACCACTGCTGCATTTGTTCACCTTTTGTCCCTCCATTTCTATGCCCTCCTTACCCTCCCAAAGACAGAAAATAACCAACAATATAAAAAAGAGAAACCAATAACAAAGAAATACCTCTTATTTCCATTTCCTGGAGTTCATCTGGGTAACTATTAGATGATCAGAGGCATATATGTATTGTGCCTTTGTGTTTCTCCCCTAAGATTATCCTCCTTTGGTCTCACTGTGTGTGGATGCCTAGAGTCTTGTATAATTTATCATAACCTGGTGTATTTTAGATCTAGCTTCTGTATATGAGAGAAAATGCGTCATTTGTGTGTCTGAATTTGGCTTACCTCACTTAATATGATTTGTCCATTCAATTCCCTGTAAATGACACAATATTCTTTCTATGTAAAATTCTATTGTGTATAGGTATCATATTTTTTGGATCTACTCATCTATTATAGATGAGATGGGCTGTTTCCATAGCTTGGCTATGATGAATAGTGCAGCAATAAACATGGATGTATAAGTGTCTTTATGATATCCTGACTTGCGATGTTCTGGGTAGATGCCCAGGAGTGAGTGGTATGGCTGAGTCATGAGAAAGATCTATGTTTGGCTTTTTAAGAAACCTCCAGAATGCTGTCTGTAGTAAGCCTTAATAATTGGTAGAGGAGGTTCCCCCTCTTTTCTTTCTCTAAAAAGTCTTGACTAGATCCGATGTTTAATGAAGTTGAGAAGTATATTGTCATGTTGCACAAAAACTCTCGAAGGAATTAATGTTGAAAACACCTTGCATATATGTAGGTAAATAAGAGAAGAACTGACATATTCACACTAATTCTCCCTATTCAGAACTTCAATACAGTTTTATATGTTTCTTTTTCCTTAGAAATGACTTGAATATCTTTTGGTAATTTTATTTCTAGAAGACCCTATGTTATATTCATTGTTAGTTTTAAATACTATTGATTTTTTTTGGGGGGGGGGTCCGGTCGTGGGGCCTGAACTCTGGACCTGGGCGCTGTCCCTCAGCTCTTCAGCTCAAGGCTAGCGCTCTACCACTTTAGCCACAGTGCCACTTCCGGCTTTTTTTTCTTTTGCTTATGTGGTGCTGAGGAATCGAACCCAGGGCCTCAAGTATGCCAGGCAAGCGCTCTACCACTGAGCCACCTTCCCTGCCCCAATGCTATTGATTTTTTTAAAGCTGGTCCTGGGGCTTGAACTCAGGACCTAGGCTTTGTCCCTACACCTATTTGTACTCAAAGCTAGCCTCTACCACTTGAGTGATAGTACCACTTCTGGCTTTTTCTGAGCAGTTTATTAGAGTCTCACTGACATTTCCTGCCTATGCTGGTTTCAAACCATGATCTCAGATCTTAGCTTCTGAAATAAATGAATACATCCTCGTTATAGCAGTTGCTGTAGTCCAGGAGATAAATAATAATGGTAGCTTAAGGTTTTAGTGGCAATAATGATAATCTTTTGTCAGCCATATAGCTTTTGGAGGAGGAATTTGGTCTGTGGGGCTCATTTTCCCATTCTCTTAGCTCCTAAATTAAGGAATATGTCAGACGATCACTGGAGAAGTATTGGTACAGAAAGACATCTGAAAAATGGGGTTGGGAATGTGGCTTAGTGGTAGAGTGCTTGCCTAGCATGCATGAATCCCTGGGTTCAATTCCTCAGTACCACATAAACAGAAAAAGCAGAAGTGGCACTGTGGCTCAAGTGGTACAGTGCTAGCCTTGAGCAGAAGAAGCTCAGGGACAGTGCCCAGGCCCTGAGTTCAGGACTGGCAAAAAAAAAAAAAGGAAGAAAGCTGAAATGTCATATTTTAAATGGTCAAAGTCAATTACATTTATGAAATTAAAGATCATGAAGATCTTAAGACATTCAAAACAAAATGATACTACTTGAGTAGAAAAAAAAGCATCATTACAGTTTTTATTTTAACTTAATAATTAACTCTGGCCATGAATAATCACAAAATAGTGAATGAGGTTGCATTGGAACTAAGTTGTAGAGTGTTTACAGTACTGTTAATTATCTGTCAGTATGCTTTTATCAAATGGACTAGATCACAAGATACTTTTAAGCCAGCACCAATAGCTCATGTTTGTAATCCTAGCCACTTGAGGCTTTTAGTTTGGAAAGACTCTTATCTCCAATTAACCAGCAGAAAGACAAGTGGAGGGATGGCTCAAGTGGTAGAGTGTCAGCGTTGGACGAAAAATCTGAGCAAGCTGGAGTATATAAAAGAAACTATGCCCTGTGCCTCAAATGACTTCCTGTGCTTGATTTGGGGAGAGCAGTTAGTGCCCTCTTCTTCCTCCACCTCATGTCAACCGCTCCAGCAATGTCAACTGTAGCTCAGGTGTGGCTTATTTAGTCTGGAACCCCTAAATCCTTCATGCTGGGCATCTCAGCAGAAAATCAGGATATCCCACTGCAAACAAAAAGCAACCAAAAACTGAAAACCTTGGGTAATATGCTGTCTGTGCATAAGTTTAAGATATATTTTAATGAGGGTTTAAACTGATGTGAGGTATCTATACATATATTTTATATATATATATATATATATATATATGTATTTGTGTGTGTGTGTGTGTATATATATATATATATATATGATAGTGGCCATTTTAACTTTCTAACTACTTCCAACAAGTTATGTAACTGATTGTGCAAAATGGGCAGGGACATTTGAGGATCTGGGAGAGAGAGGCATATTCTTGCCTTCATAATACTCCTCCTCCAATTCAAAGAATCATACAAAAAGCCAGACTGTAAGGAAAAATGAATGCTGAGCTTACTAATTATAAACTTATTATGAGCTTATTTATAAGTATATTCTATAGTCAAGAATTCTTGTTTTTCTAGTCTTTTGATTATCTGTGAATTGTGTTTTATTCTTTATATGTGCTTGTGCCAGTATTTGGGCATGAATTTGTGCCAGAACTCAAGGCCTTAGCTTTTTCACTCAAGGCTGGCACTCTACCACTTGAGTCACACCTCTGCTTCCAACTTTTTGATGGAGATAAGTCTTTTAGGGGGGGTGGGAGATGGGAAGGGATGGGAAGGGAAAACAAAGGTGGCAACAAAGCTTGGTAAGAAATGTACTCATTGCCTTGCCCATGTAATTGTAACCCCTCTGTACGGTATTTTCACAATTTAAATAAATAAATTTAAAAAACAGTCTTTTGGACTGCCTATGCTGGCTTTAAATTAGTATCTTCAGATCTCATCCTTCTGAGTAACTAAATGCCCAACCTATTAGGTTTTTTGTTTTTGTGTCAATCCTGGGACTTGAACTCCAGGCCTGGGCACTGTCCCTGAGCTATTGTGCTCAAGGCTAGTTCTGAACCACTTGAGCTACAGCTCCATTTTTGGCTTCTGGTGGTTAATTGGACATGAGTCTAATGGATGTTCCTGGCCAGGCTGGCTTCCTTGAAAATCAGTTACAGGTGTGAGGCACTAGTGCTCAAGTCAACTTAGTGTTTTATACTTTCCAAGAACTAATTACAAAACTCTCGTTTTTAGATGAGAGATGTTGACAAGCATTACATAAAGCCAATCACCAAGTGTGAAAGCAGCACACAGACCGACACCCACATATTGCCACCCAACATCGTGCGGTCCTACGAGTGGAACGAGTGGGAACTAAGAAGAAAAGCCATAAAACTGGTTTGTAGCAGGGCTTGCTAAATTTATCACTTGATTGGGGAATTTTAATATGTTGTTCATTGTTGGTACTTACTTAAGAAACAATTCCACACAGCTCTTTGCTAACATAAAAATAAGCATAATTTATAATGTGCATCTTAACCTTGTAAGACTAATTTTATTTTTTTAAGACTAATTTTAAGGAAGTGGAGCTATGGCTCAAGTGGTAGAATGCCATCCTTGAATTAGAAAGCTAAGGTATAGTACCCGGGCTCTAAGTTCAAGACCCAGTACCAAAAACAGAAAGAAACTGCTGGGGTGAGGACCACCGGGAAACAACTAAATACAACCAATAGAAAGTCTTTATTACCTGCCTGGACTACACTGGACAGTCAGGTGCCCCCAGAAAGGCAGTGCCAAGCCTGGTCTCATGGCCTCTTTTATGGCAGAAAGCCCATCCCCCCTTATTTGCTTAGGGGTGGAAAGTCCCTAATGGTTACAGAAGCTAAAACAATGCTGTAAGCAAGGATGAATGAGCGAAAACAATGCTGTAAGCAGTTATGACCTGGGACAACATGTCTGTTACAATGATGCTACTATGATCATTACTATAATCGTTTCTATAATCTGTTACTATATTTGTTACCTAGAAACAGAACAATGGTTACATATATCTTTAAAATGTCAAACTGTAAGGAGCTAGTCTCAGGGATGGGTTTGCAGTCCTTTAAGATGGAGTCACAAAAACAAAATGGGAGTTATAGAACCTAAGAGTAAACTAAGATGGTAAAATTTGACAAGTCCTATTACAGAATTATTCTTCAATGATACAAGCCAGACTTATGACCTCAAAAGAGACAATCTATCGAGGCACGGTTCAAGATAACAAATTTATTTACACTATTTACACCAGAAAGGGGGCCTGCAACTACCTTGTCCTGGACTCTAGATACCTAGAACCAGGAGCAGTCTCGACCTCCAAGCCTCCAGTAGGCAGCTCCAACCTTTATTAGTCAGTCTGCAACTACCAATCAGTCTGTCTGCAAACCTCCAAACCTCAGACCTCCAAAGCTCCAAAGGGGAAGGCTTTTCTTTTCTTCCCCTTCTCCTTCTCTGCAGGCCTCTCCGCTCTCCACAGGCCTGCCCTGCTCTGTGAGGTGCCTCTCCACAGGCCTCTCTAGATGAAGGTCCCAAGTGGCCTCTCCAGGCTCCTCTGCCCACCTCAGGCCCACTCTATTGTACTCAGGCAGGCTTTCCCACCTGGCTTGACGCCACACCCACTCCAGGAGCAGCCATGGCCCCCTTTGGCAGCATGCCCCGCCCTTCGGAGGCATGGCAAGACCATGGGGTGGTGACAGCAGCCTCTGGATGCCCGCCCCCTCTGGTGAGCCTCCTCTCTTGATGCCCTGCCCCCTCCGTCTGGGCCACGGGCCCAGTCTGATTATTGGGGCCTGGCTATTTATTATACCAGGAAGGAGAGCAATGACAATAATCTAACAGTTTTAAAACTTAGAGCTAATCTAAGTGAAAAATCTAAGCAAGCATGCAAGGTTCTGAGTTCAAGCACATCCTGAGTTTCTCCCAAGTGCTGGGATTACAGGCTTGTCCTACCCTGCCCGGACTGCCCCATCTTCTGTATAGACACCAGGATCTCTTGCCTTTCAGTTCTTAAAACTTTAACATTTGGACAAAATAATGGCATTTGCAGGGAAATGGATGGAGCTAGAAGGAATCATGTTGAGCGAGGTAAGCCAAGAACGAAGAGACAAACGGTACATGGTCTCCCTGATAAGTGGATGCTAAATCCAAAATGTTAGGTGATACCACAAAACTAACAGGACTTAAGAAACAAAGAACTCCCACTCATCTGGTTGAACCACTACTAAATATCCCCATGCTGCTGATCATATACATGGTATATAACATGTGAACATCGTTATATGTTACAGACTGTGATAGACAATTTGCTCCAGGAAAGTTAGAATGAACTTGTGACTTTAAATGAGCATCATTATTCCACAATACTGTGAAATTCCGGAAATTATGTAATCACTTAATCACAATCAAAAAAAAAAAAAACCTCGGGGAAGGTAGGGAGGGAGGGGATGGTAGGGGAAAACAATGGAGGGGATAACAATGTTCAAGAGGAAGTGTACTCATAACCTCACTCATGTAACTGTGACCCTCTGTATAGTTTCTTTACAATTAAAAAAAAAAAACTTTAACATTTGGTGCCCACCCTTAAAGCCCTTTGAAAACCCTCCAACCCTGTTCAACTCACTTGCCCCATTTTATAGTACCTTGTTATTTTAGACAGCAAACATTCATAGCCTAAGTAAAATGAAATCAAATGGGCCCTCGTCTGTAATCCTAGCTACTCAGGAGGCCGACGTCTGAGGGTCACAATCCAAAGCCAGGAGAGTCTGTGAGACTCTCTACCTCCAATAGAAAGAAAAGAGGAGGCTGGAAGTGGAGTGTGGTCAAGCAGCGGGCCAGCCTTGAGCCCACGTGCAGCCACGGGTGGGAGTGCATGCAGACCCCCCACCCAGACAGGAAGAGGGAGCTCCGGGCCCCCGCTACAGGAAGTGGGAAAACGGGAAGTCAAACCAAACCAAAGCAACCACAGCCGCGGGCCGGCCAGCCGCGGGAGCCGGCTTCGGAGGTCTCTTCGCCACATTTGCATATCCAGCCTCTGATAGGCTCCCGCTCACTTCCGCCTTCCGAGGCCTCGCCCCCGCTGGTTCCGCGTTGCCGGGGGCCGTGCACGCCGCGGACCGTCGCGCGCTCTCCCGTCCGTCTTCTGTGGAGCCCACACCCCCCAGTTGTATCGTTTTTCCGGGCCGGTCCTGGGGCCTGGAGTCAGGGCTGGGAGCTCCCGCTCACGGCGCTTGCTCTGTCGCGTGGAACACACCTCCGCTTCCAGCTCCTTGCTGGTTGATTGGAGATGCAGAGTGTCCTGGACCACGGCGGAGAGCCTCGGATCGCAGCTCCGGGGCGGCGGCAGGGCGGCGGGAGGGCGGCGGGAGGGCGGCGGGAGGGCGGCGGGAGGGCGGGCGGGGCCCCTGGCGCCTCCCAGCATTTTCTGTCCACTCAACCTCCAGTTCATCGCACATTCATTACACACCGCCGCCTCCTTGAAGGATGAATAGTCTAGCAAAGGACACCGAGAGGCTGAAACGCGTCCTGCTTCTTGGTGAAGTCAGAGACAGGCTTCTACCGCTTAGAACCATCCCTGAGTCGCCCTTTTCATTTGCTCTTCCATGATAAAAAAAGTTTAAAGAGCCCACGTAATCTGTGTAATCTCACGTTAATTAATCCACAGAGTAAGAAAAATTAAGAGTAACTATAGACTGAAAACATCAGTCTCATATTAAAAATGTAGGGAAATGTCTATTTTTATAAAGACAATAGAAATCGTACATGGTTGTCTTAAAAACAATGTTCAGTGGTGGTAGATGCTGGTAATTCCAGCTACTCGGAAGGCAGAGACAGGAAGATGACAAGTTTGAGGCCAGTCTATTCAGGAGATAAAATAAAAGGGCTGGATTTGTGACTCAAGTGGCAGAACATTTGCCTAGCATGTGTGAAGTCCTGGGTTCAGTCCCCAGTACTACAAATTTAATCATACATACATAGATACATACAAACAAAAGTAAGCCTTGATAGGGTATTGCCCACTTGTAATCTCAGCTACTTGGGAGATGAACATCTGAAAGATCATAGTTTGAAGCTAGCCCAGATGAGACTCCCCAGCTCACCCCACAAGCTGGGCCTATGATCCAAGCTACCCTAGAGGCCTAAGTAGGATGATTTCTTTCTGAGGCTGGCCCTAACCAAACAAACACAACACCTTATCTGGAATTAACTAGACCAAATAGGTTGGGGGTATGGCTCAGGTGGTAAGGTGCTTGCCTAGTAAATGCAAAGTCCTGAGTTCAAACCTAGTATTGCACAAAATAAGGCAATCTAGTATAGTGGAAAAACCCAAGCTTGTATGAATCTCAAGGTATGAATTCACTGAAACTCTGAATCTGGTGTTTTCCTTCTTTGGATTCATCTTCAACATTCTATGTGTTTCCCTACTTAATAAGGGATACAAAAAATTGGGGGGGGCATATTCCCCAGCCCTTTTTGCCTTTAGTCTGTTTTTCAGAGAGGGTCTCACCTTTTTTGGGGGGGGTCAGTTGTGGGGCTTGAACTCTGGGCCTGGGTGCTATCCCTGAGCGCTTCAACTCAAGGCTAGAGCTCTACCTCTTGAGCCACAGCACCACTTCCTTAATAATTTTTTTATTAATAAGTATTTTTATTGTGAAAATACCATACAGAGGGGTTACAATAACATGAGCAAGGTAATGAGTACATTTCTTATCAAGCATTGTTGCCTCCTCCTTTGTTTCCCCTTCCCATCCCTCACCTCCCATCTTCCCCCCCATCCCTCTTCTCCCCCTTAATATTTTATATGATTTGTTCTTTAGAGAAACATTGCTTCCGTTTTCTTTCCTTAGGCTAATTTGCGTCAGAAAATGACTCACTCGGTACAAACTAATCTTAGTCACATGAGAAGAGACAATTACTCACAGGTGTACCCTTCCAAGGAGGCAAGTACACAGACCTTGCGGGAGAACAGCACTGGCGTGCCCAGGCCCCAGATTTACATAGCGGGTCTTCGCGGAGGGAAAAGCAAAACCACCTACGGGGTCAAGGTCAACCTCACTCGAGCGGTGGATGAAACCTAGACTCAGCATTTGTGCAGATATCCCTCCTCCAGGATATGGGATTCAAGGACAAGTACTTACTTGTACTTCTAACTCATAAGCATTCCCTGCTTGTGTGAATACGTGTTTCCCATATTCTGTCGAACTGCTATGAAAAACTGCAAGTTAATTTCTAGAGACCATTGCTTCATTGAAAATTAAAACTGACAAGCAAAATGATGTCCATTTGTCTTTTGACTTCTCTTTAGAAAAAGTTTTGTGGGATAAAAATTGACATTATGGTGCCATTGAGGTGTAATATATTGTAATATTATCACTAGAAGACTCGCTCACTTGCTCCCTTGCTTGCTTGCTTGTTGGCTCGCTTGCTTGCTTGCTTGCTTTTTTCTTCTTCTTTTCTTTTCTTTTTTTTTTTTTTTGCCAGTCCTGGGGCTTGAACTCAGGGCCTACCTGAGCATCTTTTGCTCAATCTACCACTTGAGCCACAGCACCACTTCCAGCTTTTTCTGTTTATGTAGTACTGAAGAATTGAACCCAGAGCTTCATGCATGCTAGGCAAGCACTCTACCACTAAGCCACATTCTTTCTTTCTTTCTTTCCTTTCTTTCTTTCTTCCTTTCTTTCTTTATTTCTAATGTCTTATTTAATATTAAAACACTAAAAGTTTAAGTTGGGCACCAGTGGCTCATGCCTGTAATCCTAGATACCCAGGAGGCTGAGATCTGAGCCTCGCAGTTCCAAGCCAGCCCAGACAGGAAAGCATGGGAGACTCTCATTTCCAATTAACTATCAAAATAGCTGGATGTAGAGCTGTGGCTCGAGTAGTAGAGTGCCAGCCTTGAGCTAAAAAAAACTCAGGAAGAGTGCCCTGGTCCTGAGATCAAGCCCAAGGGCTGGCACAAAAAAAGAAAATTTTGCAGCATCAAGATTGACATTGTGAGCCATTGAGGGAATATAGTACTAGATTATTATTACTAGAAGATTTTATTTCTAAAGTCCCATTTAATAATAAATTCTAAAAATGTAAAACATTTTTTTCCTGAGCACCAGTGGTTTATTCCTATAATTCTAGCTACACAAGGAGGTAAGATCTGAGAATCATGATTTAAAGCCAGTCCAGGCAGATAAACCTGAGAGACTTACTCCAAAAAACCAGCAAAAGGTTAGAAGCAAAGGCATGGCTCAAGTGTTAGAGTATCAACCTAGAGTGAATGTAACAACACAGTCACAGAGCTGTGGCACTGAGTTTCCAAAACTCAGCTCTGGCTTGAGCTCTGGCTCAAGGCACAGTGTTGGTCCAGACACAGCTGTTTCAATGCCCAGGAGCCAGTCCAAAGTTTAGTGGATTCAGAGAACCAAGGCAGTTCAAGTGATCTCATCAAGTTTGGATGTTTCCTGTCCACCCTGTGACATAGACACTGGATGGTGGTCGATAGGTCAGTGGGTGCCGTGGACCACCGGGGTCAAGTGTCGCTCTATAGCTGAGGTGATGGCTTGCATTATGTGTTGATCTGCTGTGTTGATCATTTTAGGAGCTGGCTTTTCTGACATGGTTTTGGTAGGCTCCTATGTTCCCGATTTAATTTGGCAAATATTTTATTAGTTTTATTATTTTGTGCTGGTACTGGGACTTGAACTCAGAGTCTCACACTCTGGCTTGGCTTTTTTTTCCCTCAATGCTCGTTCTCTATCACTTGAGCCACTCCCCTGTTGCAACTTAAGTTTATATGTTCCTTGGTGGTGGTATTTTATTTGTCTCTGTGGGTTACTCATCCATCTCTGCCACATGGTTATGCTAGGAAGATGGAGAATCATTCTGCCTCAGCGTTTGCAAACTGCTGTTTGATGAAAAGGAGTCACTCAGGGCAAGACAGCCTGGAAGCTTGTGCTCTGTATAACATGGAGTGACAAGAACAGAGACAGCCTGACCTCTCCAGCAGTCTCTGAAGGAGGGGACCTTACTCAGATGGAAACACTACCTTTTTCAGTGCCCTGGCTGTCCAAGCGCCATCAAACTAAAGATTTCTGGACTCTCTACTGCTTTATCCGATGGCCACCCTCATTTCAGCAAGCCATAGGCCAAAATGATTGCTTTGTCCATACTTGTTTCTCCTTTGTAATGACCTTTGTGGTCAAGGACATCACGAGCTGTTTATTAGCATAAATTAAAAACTTCTCAAAGGGCTGGGAAGGTGGCTCAGTGGTAGAGCGCTTGCCTTGCATGCATGAGGCCCTGGGTTCGATTCCTCAGCACCACATAAGCAAAAAAAAAAGCTGGAAGTGGCGCTGTGGCTCGAGTGGTAGAGCACTAACCTTGAGCTGAAGAGCTGAGGGACAGCACCCAGGCTCAGAGTTCAGGGTCCACAACCAACAAAAACAAAACAACAACAACAACAACAAACCCTTATCAGTTGGCTTTCTCCCACAGTCTCTGAATTTAATCACCAAGCCCTGTTAATTTGGAGTGAATTATCTTTGAGATCCAAGTATTCCTATTGTCCTCACTGCCACCATGGTTCAGTTTTGTCCTATTGCCTAGGTCTCTGCTGACTCCAGTGTTCACATGATTCATTAGGATGTTTCCTAATTCATGACAATGCTGGGCTCTGTTGGCTCATGCCTGTAATCCTAGCCACTCAGGAAACTGAGAGCTGAAGATCACCGTGAAAAGTCAACCTGGGCAGGAAAGGATGTGAGTTAGTATTTCTGTCTCTCTGTCTCTGTCTTAGTTCTCTCTCTCTCTCTCTCTCTCTCTCTCTCTCTCTCTCTCTCTCTCTCTCTCTCTCTCTCTCTCTCTCACACACACACACACACACACACACACACACAATCTGATCAGGACACCTGGATTCCTCACTCCAACTGCATTTCCTTTGCTTACGAGCCTACCTAAAAATAAGGTAAAACTCTTTCATTACATGAGGCCCTGAGTTCAAACCTCAGTACTGTCAAGCAAAACCCCTTTCTTTCCATACACACCTGACATATTAGCCACTTAGGACCCAAAGTCTCCAAATAACTCCTGCCCTTTCATAGCAGCTTTCTCCTGGAATGTTCTCCATAATGCCCCGCATGGCATCTATTTGTCCACAAACAGCTGGATGCAATTTTGTCTTTTCTATGAAGGTTTTTCTCATCAACTAGGAAAAATTAGCTCCACCCGTCTTTGGGTTTCCATTGAAGTGTATTCATACTCTTACTATACTTTTAAATAGGTGTAGGCATACCAGTAGGTATCTCTTGGTTAGGTTGTGAAGTTTTTTTTTCTTTTATTGTTTCAGGTCTGGGGCTTGAACTCAGGGCCTCGAGCTCTCACTTGTCTGTCTCACTTGAAGCTGTGCTCTACTACTTGAGCCACACCTCCAATTCCTCTGTGGTGAATTAGAAATGTTTTAGTCATCTTTTTTGGTGGTGGTGTTGGTTGTGGGGCTTCCTGGGTGCTGTCCCTCACCTCTTCAGCTCAAGGCTAGAGCTCTACATCTTGAGCCACAGCAACACTTCTGGTTTTCTGGTGGTTTGTTGGAGATAAGAGTCTCAGACTTTCCTTCCTGGGCTGGCTTTGAACTGTGCTCCTCAGATCTCAGCTTCCTGAGTAGCTAGCATGACAGGCGTGAGCCATGGGTGCCTGGTGGCTTTAGTCATCCTTAGGTCTCTGGCATTTGTACAGTATCGTGTTAGATGAATGAATATCCTTAAAAAGAAAAAGAAGAAATAGCCAGGTGCCGATGGCTGGCACCTATGATTGTATCTATTCAGAAGATTAAGAGCTGAGGATCATGGTTTGAAGCCAGCCTGGGCAGAAAAGTCCATGAGACCCCTTATCTCTAACTAGCAAGAAGCCAAAAGTGGAGCTGTGGATCAAGCGGTAAAGCACTAGCCTTAGGCAAAAAAGCTCAGGGACAGTACCCAGACTCTGAGTTCAAGACCCAGGACCAGCACATGTGCACATGTGTGCATACTCACATGTACACATACACACATACATACACAAAGGATGAAGGGAAAACTAGAAGTAGACTATTGGTTGACTACTTGTTTTCTCAGTGAGGTGGGTGCTGACAGTCACTTAGTATTAGAATAGTTAAGAAGACTTTGGAAGGAAGCCGGGCGCTGGTGGCTCACACCTGTAATCCTAGCTACTCAGGAGGCTGAGATCTGAGGATCGTGGTTCAAAGCCAGCCCGGGCAGGAGAGACCGTGAGACTCCTATCTCCAATAAAACCACCAGAAAACCGGAAGTGGCGCTGTAGCTCAAGTGGTAGAGCGCTCGCCTTGAGCTGAAGAGCTGAGGGACAGTGCCCAGGCCCAGAGTTCAAGCCCCACGACTGACCAAAAAAAAAGAAAAAAAGAAGACTTTGGAAGGTAAAGCAGTATTTTGCCTTCTGTCATCAGACAGTAGGAAGCTAGGCAGAGCATGCACAGGAAATGGAGCAAGGAAGCAGAGGCACTGGTGTTGATGAGATGCTGGGACACTTTGGCAAGAACTTGGACATGGATGATGTCACAGGTCAAATGTCACAATTACAAAGATGTGGCATAGGAAGAATGGGAAGGAAAAGTCCACCGTGTGACCTCAGGGTTCCTGCCTTGGGGAACCAAGAATAATTAGGACGAAGAACTCACTGGCCCCAAATGCTAAGCCTTGGACCCCAGGAGAGAGGGTAAATAGAATTGCAGCTGGATGAAGATAATCACCACAGGGAGTAGGTGTGGTGAGAAGGACCAGAAGACCAATCCCAAGAGTAGAAAAAGGTGAACAGGAATCAGTGTGCTCAAAAAACCCCACTATCGCTTTGGAGGTGAGGGTGTGGGAAAAAAGCCAAAGGAGAGCTCAAATCACAGTACTGATACAAAAGAGAAAAAAAAGAATGAGAGACAGAAATGAAGAGAAAAAGATCTAGCTCTGTTAGTGTGTTATTTTCTCTCTGCTGAAGGTTTTTAGTTGTTTTTTTTTTAATCGGTTGTGGGGCTTGAACTCTGGGCCTGGGCACTGTCCCTCAGCTCTTCAGCTCAAGGCCAGCT